TCGGGATTCGATGTGCTGCCTAAGAAAAGAGAGGGAAGCGAGAGAGAGAGAGAGAAAAATTGTAAATGATTTGAAGCACATATTTTGAAAAAAAAGTAATGTGGACTGAGAACATAAAAATAGTGACAAAATTATATATGTATTGTTTTCACATCCATAGGACTATATGCACGCGTTCAAACAATCACACATTCAACGTAAAAGCTATTTACATGCAAAAAAACTATGTACCTAAGTACGTATGTACATATGTACTCTGCTTAGTTCTAATAAAAAAATTTGCTACAATTGGCCAAATGATAAATGACAGGACAAGTTGTATTGATTGCTAAAGCAATGTGGCCACAAATGTTAAGCATTTCGGACGTAGCTGAGTGGTATTGAGGCAATGATTTTGTATATATGTATTTATGCATGTTCACATACATATGTAAGTATATACAACTAAATTTATACAAGTTAATACAAGACGCAAAAAAGATTCATGATTCATCCGAGGCCAAATAAATATGCTCAATGTACGAGTAAATATTCAAAACAGGCGAAAATATATTTTTTATTTATATTTTTATCACAAATATATTCATTTTAGTTCATCGGCGTGAAATCATAATTAATAGTCAGTGCTTTATTAGGATTAAGCATAAAAATGGAGGCTCTTTAGCAAAAATATTGTCTTACATTGCGAAAATAAGTTAAGTAAAATGTGCTTATGTCTTACGTAAGTGAATCCATATCTATGTCTTTAATAATTTACAGCAAGAAGTTGGAATTTTAGTAGACAGAATAAATTTAAATACATATAATAAATAAACCAAGGCGAATTCATATAAGGTTGTAGCGGTAGTACAATACAAAAACTTACATGCACTTTGTTTTTGCTTTTGGTACAAAAAGTGTTAAATTTCAGCTATTTTTGCTCAAGGAAGAAGAGGGAAAGAAAATTCCAACACTCTCACTTTCTCGCTCACTCATAAGAAATTTTGACAAATGTGTAGCGAGGCGAATAAAATCAGCCGTTCTGGCAACACTACCTTAAATGAATTCGACTTGAAATAAACTATGAAACAAAAAAAGAAGGTATTTCTTTACTACTTCCTTTTAGTCATAAGGCATATTTTTGACATTTCTTCAAATGCAAACATTAAGCTTTGCCACATTGGACTTCTTTGAGAACTCCCTTCTCTTTTATGAACTGTTAAGGATTTAATACAAAATTAAAATATGCATACGAAAAATGACAAGTAGGATATGATCGATAACCAAATTACCAAGGGACCAAAAATAACTGTTATCTCGAATTTACAAATTGGAAACGTTGCCCGAATTCTGAAATTTAACGAAAACGTTGTT